TTTGCTATATTTCCACAAGAGCTGGAGGAAAGACGTCTGTTCAACCGGCCATGGTAACTCCGCCCCCCATTTAGGATCGTTCTAAGATTGTCTTTGATATGTCTCTTTGGGAGGAACCCCATTTGATCTACATGTATCCAATTTCTGAGATAATCCTTTAATCTATTAGCTATGATATTGGTAAATATTTTATAATCCAAGTTTAGCAGGGATGTGGGTCTATAATTTTTAACGTCTGTACGATCTGTATTCTCTTTATATATCATTATAATATTTGCAGATATCCAGGTAGTAGGTATTTTTTGTGTTAATAGGGCCTGATTCATGATTCTTTTTAGATAGGGTATAAATTCATTCATTAATTCTTAATAATAAACAGCTGTAAATCCATCAGGGCCTGAGGCTTTACTGCTATTCAGATTCTTAATGGCATTTTTAATTTCTACCTCGGTGATTTCTTGATTTAACATTTCTCTTTGAGAGTCCGTCAGTTTAATGTATTATCGAAGGCTTTCAGTTTTCAGTCTGACAGTTTGTTTATTTTGTTTATTTTCTATCTGCTCAGGAATCACATGGATCAAAGAGGATACAGAAACCCTGCAGGATGAGAAGCATTTTCTCCAATATAATCAAAATTCCCATTCTGGTCCCCACTCCTCCATTCTGCAACATTGTCCAATCCTTCTGGGTAAACAATAAACTGAATTTGACCATTCATTCTTTAACCAGGTATCTGTGATTATGGGTGCATCTAGACTGTAGATAGAATGCAATTTGACATGACTTAGGAAGAACTTCCTGAGTGTGACAGCTGTTCAGCAGTGGAACTCTCTCTCTACTCCAGAGTGTGGTGGAGGCTCCTTCTTTGGAGGCTTTTAAGCAGAGGCTGGATGGCCATCTGTCGGGGGTGCTTTGAATGTGATTTTCCTGTTTCTTGGCAGAATAGGGTAAAGGTAGGCAGGAGTGAGGGTTAGGGTAGGGATAGTTAGGGAAGAGGTGGTAGGGAACGGGATAGTTTGTTGACTTCCAATCTCCTTCTTGGGTTTTTGCAGTTTAATAAACATTTCCCATGTGTTTATGATAGAACAAATTAGGAAATGGCATGTATAACCCAGGAAGAACGTGTTACTTAGTGTCTTCTGTGAATTTTAACCTTACACTTTATTAGTATTGACATCAATCTTTGTTCTGTGTATTTTAATGTAGGTAAAGGTAAAAGTTTCCATTTGACATTAAGTCTAGTTATGTCCGACTCTGGGGACTCATGCTCCATTTCTAAGCCGAAGAGCTGGTGTTGCCCATAGATGCCTCCAAGGTCATGTGACCAGCATGACTGCATGGAGCACCGTTACCTTCCTGCAGAAGCAGTACCTATTGATCTACTCACATTTGCATGTTTTGAACTGCTAGGTTGGCGGAGGCTGGGGCTAACAGCAGGAGCTCACCCCACTCCCCAGTTTCGAACCGCCAACCTTTCGGAGGTTTAACCCGCTGCGCCACCCGGGGCTCCATTTTAATGTATTCATGTAAATAATGTTATTTTTAATCTGTGTGTTTCAACCATGCTGTACTTCATCTCAAGATGTGAGGAGAAGCAGCTAACAATACAAATCTATTATTACTTTCTTCGTCACTATCATTTAAATTACCTGAACTTTTAAGGAGGGAATAGGAATGTTCCAGACCCACAACGTCATTTCCAAGGGAGGGATCCTCCATTTCGCTCTCTTTGGTTTTCAGTGGGTCGCTTGGGAGGGATTCGGACGGCTTGAGACAGGGGACGGAGCTTTTCTTTTTACCGCTCTGTAAGAGGAATTAAAGACATGACATCCTGGGTGAAGCAAACATGGAATACTTGGGGATGTGAAGCATTTGCTCTGAAATAACCAAAATTTCCATTCTGGTCCCCACTCCTCCATTCTGCCACACTGTCCAATCCTTCTGGGTAAACAATAAACTGAATTTACCCATTCATTCTTTAACCAGATACCTGGAATACTTGGGATGTAGAAAATATTCCATTTTTAAATATGCATGTTTTCTTTTAAAGCAGCATTTCTCAACCTGGGGGTCGGGACCCCTGAGGGGAGATTCGAGGGGGTTTCAGAGTGGTTGCCAACGACCATCAGAAAACATATATTTCTGATGGTCTTAGGAACCCCTTTGGCAGAGAAGGCTGAAGATCTCTCCACCTGTCCTTCTCTTCCTTTTTGGAAACGGATGGCGAATCCTCCCACCCAAAGCCCTCCTCCGCTGTGATTGGCAGGCCTCTCAGCCAAGGGAAGGGCTGTTTCTGGAGACTCCATGTGGGGAGGGGAAAGAAGGCGTGCTCGGCACATGGCAGCGTGGTGCACATACGTGGTCGAGGGAGAGCGTGCAAGGCTGGAGGGAGGCTTGTGCCAGTGAGTCCTTTCAAAGCATGGGGGTTCTGTGCAGGAAGTTTGGCCCAATTCTATTATTGGTGTGGTTCAAGGGGCTCTTTGATTGTAGGTGAACTATAAATCCCAGCAACTACAACTCCCACATGTCAAGGTCTATTTCCCCCAAACTCCACTAGTGTTCACATTTGGGCATATTGAGTATGCATACCGAATTCAGTCAAGATCTATCATTGTTTGAGCCCACAGTGCTCTCTGGATGTAGGTGAACTACAACTCCAAAACTCAAGGTCAATGCCCACCAAACCCTTACAATATTTTCTGTTGGTCATGGGAGTTCTGAATACCAAGTTTGGTTCGATTCCATCGTTGGTGGAGTTCAGAATGCTCTTTGATTGTAGGTGAACTATAAATCCCAGCAACTAAAACTCCCAAATGTCAAGGTCTATTCTCCCCAAACTCCACCAGCGTACACATTTGGGCATATTGGGTATTTGTGCCAATTTTGGTCCAGATCCATCATTGTTTGAGTCCACAGTGCTCTCTAGATGTAGGTGAACTACAACTCCCAAACTCAAGATCAATGCCCACCAAACCCTTACAGTACTTTTTGTTGGTCATCGGAGTTCTGCGTACCAAGTTTGGTTCAATTCTATCATTAGTGGAGTTCAGAATGTTCTTTGATTGAGGTCACAAAGAGTCGGAAGCGACTGAACGAATAAACAACACCATACTGGGTATTTGTGCCAAGTTTGGTCCAAATCCATCAATTGGGTGCACATTGCTCTGTCAATGTGGGTGAACTATAACTCCCAACCTCTGAAGTCATTCCCCTAAAACCCCATGAGCATTCAAAGTTTGGCATGTTGGGTATGTGTGGCAAGTCTACTAGTTCCATCACCAGTTTGGTACAGAGTGCTCTTTGTGTGTTGGTGAACTACAACTCCCAGAATTCAAAAATAGCCCCCCCCCCCCAACCCCACCAGTATTTAATGTTGGTAGTATGCCAGGTTTGGTGCAGATCCATAGTGGGCTGGGTTCAGAATGCCCTTTGATTGTAAGTGAACTATAAATCCCAGCAACTACAACTCCCAAATGACAAATTCAATCAGATTTTTGCAGATTCTGGAATACAGTCAACACCCCACATTTGGTGGGGTTCAGGCATGGGCCAACTTTGGCCCTTCAGGTGTTTTGGACTTCAACTCCCACAATTCCGAATTGTGGGAGTTGAAGTCCAAAACACCTGAAGGGCCAAAGTTGGCCCATGCCTGTAGACCCACACTTTAGTACAGTCCTTTCAATGAAGCTTTAAACCCCCCAGGAAGGATTTGCGATGCATTCGGTACCTTCTTCTGCCGTTCGGGTATATTAAACACCACGGGAATCGCTTCCGGCTTCAAGTACCGCCTACCCGAAGCCACGTTTTCGAGGTAATCTGACCTACGAAAGTGTTCAGAGCAGATGACATGGTGCCGTGTCGGAACGAAGTTCTTGCGCCGGATGTTGCAGACCCACTTTTTCAACAGATCCTTTTTCCCAAGAGGAAACCTATGGAAAAGTTACACACGGCATTTATCTTCCACAGATACAACACTTAGAGGAGGACCACAGGGTTGAAATTGCTCTGTCCAGCAATTGCCAAAGTATTAAACCCTAATAGTTTTTATATAAGATAGATGAGGGTCTATGGAGTGCCCAGTGGCGCAGTGGGTTAAACCGCTGAGCTGCTAATCGAAAGGTCACAGGTTTGAACCAGGGGAGCAACATGAGCTCCTGCTGTTAGCCCTAGCTCCTGCCAACCTAGCAGTTTGAAAACATGCAAATGAGAGTAGATAAATATTTATTTTATTTATTTATTTACAACATTTATATGTCGCCCTTCTCACCCCAAAGGGGACTCAGAGTGACTTACAAGGTATATATTATATACCATCTATTATATTATTAGCATAGTACAATATCAGCATTAAACATTGCTATATTGCACCGTACCACTATATCATAATATTACACGTAATATAAATACATAATTATAATATCATATTATTATTGCATATAATTTGTAATATTAAAATGTAATGCAATATAATAATAATAATAATAATAATAATACTAATAATACTTTGGCACAAGCCAGTCAAGGTGGTCCCAGTGGTGATTGGCACACTGGGTGCAGTGCCTAAAGACACTGGTCCGCATTTAAACACAATCGGCGCCGACAAAATTACCATCTACCAGCTGCAGAAGGCCACCTAACTGGGATCTGCACACATTATTTGCCGATACATCACACAGTCCTAGACACTTGGGAAGCTCCCGCTGTTAGTCCTAGCTCCTGCCAACCTAGCAGTTCGAAAACATGCAAATGAGAGTAAATCAATAGGCAATAAGGAGAAGAAGACGACGACAACAACTTTGGCACAAGCCAGTCAAGGTGGTCCCAGTGGTGATCAGCACACTGGATGCAGTGCCTAAAGATCTTGGCCTGCACTAAAACACAATTGACGCTGACAAAATTACCATTTGCCAGCTGCAAAAGGCAACCTTACTGGGATCTGCACTCATTATTCGCCAATACATCACACAGTCCTAGACACTTGGGAAGTGTCCGACGTGTGATCCAATACAACAGCCAGCAGAGTGATCTTGTCTGCTGTGGACTCATCTTGTTGTGTTTCAAATAATAATAATAATAATAATAATAATAATAATAATAATAATAATAATCTTTATTTATACCCTGCCACCATCTTCCCGCGGGGGACTCGGGGTGGCTAACATGAGGCCAAGCCCAAAGATACAATACAACAAAATAATATAGAAAATACAGACAACAAAAATTATATCAGAATAAAATACATAAAGTAGTAAAATATTTATTATTGATTTACTGTATTTATATACCGCCTTTCTCAGCCAATCAGCAACTCATGGTGGTTTCCAACAAATCAGCACACATAAAACATAATATAAAATTAAGACATTAAACAGTAAAACACCACAAGAGCCATAAAAATCAAAATAAACCAAGTAAATTGAGATAACATAAAATGAAACACAATTGGCACTCTGGTGGGAAGGTAATGGCACTTCATGAAGTCATGCTGGCCACATGACCTTGGAGGTATCTACGGACAACGCCAGTTCTTCGGCTTAGAAATGGAGATGAGCACCAACCCCCAACTCCGGGGGTTGGTGTTCATCTCCATTTCTAAGCCGAAGAACTGGCATTGTCCATAGACACCTCCAAGGTCACGTGGCCAGCATGACTTTTACCTTTACCTAGATGAGGGTCTCATCTGCTTTGGCCAGTCTCCACCTGGAATAACCCTGTTCTAGGCACCAAAAATTCAAACAAAGGATACTGACAAGATGGAACATATCCAGAGAAGGGCGACCAAAATGACCAAAAGGTTTGGAAACTAAGCCCTATGAGGAATGTCTAAGTGGCTGGATATGTTTAGCCTGGAAAAAAGAAGGCGATGTGATAGAGACCACGAATGTGAAATCAAGGGACTTACCTGTGGAATGAGATATTGTTGCCAAGGGTGAATTTGTTGTTGCAGTTTATTGCACAGCACGATTTCACCATGATTGTGTGCTTGCAAAAGCCCCCCAAGGACTGCAAAGGAGAGAAAGAAGGGCTCGTGAACAACATCAGTGCAATAAAATGTTACCAAATAGAGAGAGTTTCAAGGTTCAATTTATGCCAATCTATCCAGTCTGATGATCAGATACAACCAATTTAGCATCACCTCGGGTGCATCTACACGATGGAGTATTAATGCCGTTTGACCTCGCTTTAACTGCCTTGGCTCTATGCTATGAAATCCCGGGAGGTACAGTTCCACAAGGTCTTTTGCCTTCTCTGCCCATCTAACTAAAAATCCTATGATTGCATAGCATTGAACCATGGCAGTTCCAGCAGTGTTAAACTGTGTTAATTCTACAATGTAGATTCACCTTGACTGTCTGATCCTCACAGCAGAGGTACTGAAGGAGTATTATTTATTTATTTACCCTATTTATACCACACCTTTCTCAAGACGGCTTACATATGGGCATTTTTTTTGTCGTGTCAGGAGCAAGTCGCTTCTGGTGTGAGAGAATTGGCCGTCTGCAAGGACATTGCCCAGGGGACACCTGGATGATTTAATGTTTTTATCATCCTTGTGGGAGGCTTCTCTCATGTCCCCGCATGAGGAGCTGGAGCTGATAGAGGGAGCTCATCCGCCTCTCCCCGGATTCGAACCTGCGACCTGTCGGTTTTCAGTCCTGCCGGCACAGGGGTTTAACCCACTGCACCACCGGGGGCTCCATATGGGCAATGATTCAATGCAATGATTCAATGCCATTAACACACATATGATCCCAATAACATTTAGATAAAATTAAATTGAATTAAAATTAATACATAATAAGCATTTATTATTAGAAAATGTTACACCATTTCTGCTTCCTTGGCAGCCACCTCTTCACAAAAGTCAACATTGACACTGAATACAACACCGCCTGAGCTCTGAGAGTGCAGCATTTTTCCAAATGAAGCAGAGAGTGTTTGAGGACTGGGATATGTGTAGGGAGACCAAGGTGCTTGTTTATAAAGCTATTGTCCTCCTAACCCTGCCGTACGCCTGCGAAACATTGACTGTCTACAGACGTCACATGCAACTCCTAGAACTATTCCATCAGCGTTGCCTCCAAAAAATCCTTCAAATCTCTTGGGAAGACAAGCAGACAAATGTCAGCATGCTGGAAGAGGCAAAGACCACCAGCATTGAAGCGATGGTCCTCCACCATCAACTCCGCTGGACCGGCTACATTGTCCAAATGCCCGATCACTGTGTCCCAAAGCAGTTGCTCTACTCCGAACCCAAGAACAGAAAACGGAATGTTGGTGGACAGGTAAAGAGATTGAAAGATGGGCTCAAAGCCAACCTTAAAAACTGTGGCATAGACACTGTGAACTGACAAGCCTTTGCTCTTGAGCGCTCTAGCTGGAGGTGAGCTGTGACCAGCAGTGCTGTAGAATTTGAAGCGGCAAGAATGCAGGGCGAAAGAGAGAAATGCACCAAGAGGAAGACACAGCAAGCCAACCCCGACTGGGACCGCCTTCCACCTGGAAACCAATGCCCTCACTGCAGAAGAACATGCAGGTCAAGAATAGGGCTCCACAGTTCCCTACAGACCCACGGCCAGGACACTGAACTTGGACGACAATCATACTCGGACAACGAGGGATCACCTAAGTAAGTAACTATTGGAAAATAATAAATCTGATATCATATATATAAGCATTATTAGTTCCACCAGGAAATCATTGGATCAGCGACTTTAAGAGCTATTTGATTTATATGGATTGCTAAGATAGGGAACGTAAACACAGTTTATTACAATTCCAATTTGTTACCAATATGACAGGTGTCAATCAAATTAAATCAAATTTTTGACCAACATCAATAAAGATGAGTCAAGAGATCCAAACAAAATTGAAACAACAACATTGCAGACTGAGCCTCCCTTATCCAAAATATTTCAAAATCCAAATTGGTTGCGATAGCGAGAGCTTTGTTTTCAGATAGCTCAATGCACACAAAGTTTGCTTCATGCAGAGCGTTCTTAAATATATTGGCTGTTAGGAATTGTGGGAGTTGAAGTCCAAAACACCTGGAGGGCCCAAGTTTGCCCAGGCCTGGTTTACAATAGAAGTAATGCAGCTTGGCATCTCTATGGACCCCTGAGAGCTGTGGACGGTGAGACAGTAGCACTCTTAGAAAACAACATAGCATCGATACATGGGGACTTAAGTGGTGTCAAACACCATTCATTATACATTATATACATTATGCATTATATAGTATCAAAGGGAAAGGAATGTGAAATTGCTTGCACAGTTTGAAGGTTTGTGAAGCGTATAATTTGGGCACATCCAGGCAGGGGATGCTGGGAACTGCAATCCGATAACAAGACTCCCATCCTTGTGTCACTCAAAAAGTAAAAATCTTAGAAGATCTGCTGCCTATCTAAGATATTACAGGACCGCTATTCTCAGCACTTCCCTCCTTAGAGAGGCTGCCTGAGGATGATGGGAGCTGCAATCCCATAGCAAAACCACCAAACTTCTAAGTTACCAATCTTGGAAGACCTACCGCCTATTCAAGCTATTACCAGATTGCTATTGTCAGCACTTCTCTCCTTAGAGAGGCCAGATGGGGATGATGGGAGCTGCAATCCCATAGCAAGACTCTAATCCTTGGGTTGACTGAAAAAGCAAAAGTTGTCAATCTTAAAAGACCTGCTGCCTATTCAAGATATTACTGAGTTGCTATTCTCAGCACTTTCCTCCTTAGAGAGGTTGGCAAGGGATGATGGGAGCTGCAATCCCATAGCAAAACTCCCATCCTTGGGTTTATTTATTTAAACGTTTTCTATACCGATCTTCTTACCTACAAGAGGGACTCAGATCCGGTTCGCAACATGTGTTCATATACAAAAATACAAACCACACAATGCATCATCATTACACAATTAAAAACATATTACAATACAACATCAAATACAAATGTTTTGAGTCTTAAAATACTATTGCCTATTCAGGATATTACTGGGTTGCTATTCTTTGCCTTTTTCTCTTTAGAGAGGCTGGCTGGGAATGATGGGAGCTGCAATCCCATAGCAAGACTCCCATCTTTGGGTTGACTAAAAAAGCAAACGTTTTCAGTCTTTAAAAACCTACTGTCTATTCAATATATTACTGGATTGCTATTCTCAGCATTTCCCTCTAGGCCAGATGGGGATGATGGGAGTTGCAATCCCATAGCAAGACTCCCATCCTTGGGTTGAGACTCAAAAAGTAGAAGTCCACCTTAGAAGATCTGCTGCCTATTCAAGATATTCTTGAATTGTTATTCCCAGCCCTTTCCTCCTTAGAGAGATTGTCTGGGAATGATGGGAGCGGCAATCCAACAACATCTGGGGGAATAACTCAAAAAGTAAAAATCCATCTTAGAAGATCTGCTGCCTTTTAAAGATGTCATTAGACTGCTATTCTCAGCCATTCCCTTCTTAGGGAAGTGTTATGGGGATGATGGGAGCTGCAATCCAACAGCATCTGGGGGAATAACTCAAAAAGTAAAACATTCCATCCTTAAAAGACCTGCTGCTTTCACAATGTGTCACCCCAGACATTATGGGTTGTGACTCTTAGCTTCCCCCTGGCCTTAGAGAGTCTGGCTGGGAATGTTGGGAGCTGCAATCCCAGCTGCAAGCTGCAATCCCATAGCAAAACTCCCATCCTTGGATTAATTCAGAAAGCAGAAGTTGTCAACCTCGTAAAGGCCTGTTGTCAACTCAATATGTTGCTCTACTGCCACTCTTAGCATTCCCCTTTCCTTAGAGAGGCTGCCTGGGGATGCTGGGAGATGCAATCCCAAAGCAAGCTGCAATCCCATAGCAAAACTCCCATCCTTGAATTAACTGAAAAAGCAAAAGATATAGATCTTTAAAAGGCCTGTTGATACTCAAAATGTTGCTCCATTGCCACTCTCAGCACTCCCTTCCCTTTGGGAAGCTGGCTGAGGATGGTGGGAGTTGCAATCAAATAGCAAAACGCCCATGCTTAGGGAACTCGAAAACAAAGGCGCAAGCCATGCTTTCCAAAGCCTTTTACAACACTAAAGATGGGCTTCAAACCTACCCCATATAATAGCCCATGCAATGTGTAAATCCAAACCCAAACCAGGCCTTCCCATCTATATAAATAAAAACGTAATGTTCATTTGTGGGATTAACAGAACTCAAAAACCACTGGACGAATTGACACGAAATTTGGACACAACACACCTATCAAACCAATGAGTGACCATCGCTCATCAAAACACAGAAAAACACAACAGAAGGGACTTAAAAGGCCAAAAAAGGCAAAAGACACTACAGCACATGCACAAAAACAACTCCACCTGTCAAACAAAACACACAATAGCATATCCACACTCTCTTCCGGACTACAGCTCCCAGCATCCCCTAGACCAGGCCCTTTAGGAGTGGAGGATGATCCCAATGCACTGCTTCCAAGATGCAACCTTTCTTCTTGGATTTCTTTGAAAGCATCACTGCATATTTCCAATTTCCTATTCCTGGACTGCAACTCCCAGCAATCCTCCAGGCAGATAAGATAGATGGAAGAAAGGAAGGGAAAAGGGAGGGAAGGAAGGAAGGAAGGAAGGAAGGAGAGAAAGGAAGGAAGGAGAGAAAGAAAGGAGGAGAGAAAGAGGGAGGGAAGGTTGTCCACAGCAACTCCTGCCTGACGGGTACAGCAAGTCTATAATAAACGTGTAATGTATGTTTGTGGAATTAACTTAACTCAAAAACTACTGAGCAAATTGTTGCCAAATTTGGCCACAAGACACCTACTAACCCAAGGAGTGACCATCGTTTTAAAAAAATGATTTTGTCATTTGGGAGTGGCAGTTGCTGGGATTTATAGTTCACCTACAATCAAAGAGCATTCTGAACCCCACCAATGATAGAATTGAACCAAACTCCCATGATCAACAGAAAACACAGGAAGGGTTTGGTGGGCATTGACCTTGAGTTTGGGAGTTGTAGTTCACCTACATCCAGAGAGCACGGTGGACTCAAAAAATTATGGATCTGGACCAAACTTGGCACAAATATTCCACATGCCCAAATATGAACACAGATGGAGTTTGGGGGAAATAGACCCTGACATTTGGGAGTTGTAGTTGCTGGGATTTATAGTTCACCTACAATCAAAGAGCATTCTGAACCCCACAACAACAGAATTGGGGCAAACTTCCCACACAGAACCCCCATGATCAACAGAAAATACTTAAGGCCACCCAGTCCAACTCCCTTCACCAGGGCAAAAAAACCGTAATCAAAGCCCTCCTGACAAAGAGCCATCCAGCCATAGATATAGATAGATAGATATGATTCACACACACAGAGATATAGTATCACAGATGTGTAAGGGACCCCTAAAGAAGCACAATTATATGTTGCATATTCCAGAGTAGGCCAACCAGACACTCTCCACATCAACACTGACAAAGAAACAGCGGAAAATACTGTTTGCTCACAAGCAGAAAGAAATTACATATATTAGAAACATTACTTTATTTTCCAGATCACCAGAGTGGGCAGGGCACGGCTAGTAAATGTAATAATAATAGAGTAAAATATTAGCATAATAATAACAATAATAAATAGAGTAAAACAATAAATGTAATAATAGAGTAAAATAATGAATGTAATAATAACAATAAATAGAGTAAAATAATAAATATAACAATAATAGAGTAAAATAATAAATATAATAATAATTATAATAATAATAAATAGAGTAAATTTATAAATATAATAAAAATAATAATTGAGTAAATAATAACTGAGCATCCCAATTCCTGCATATCTCCAATTTCCTATTCCTGGACTACAACTCCCAGCAATCCTCCAGATAGATAAGAAAGATAGATGGATAGATACATTAGATAGATATAGATAGGTAGGTTGTTTTTTTTTTTGTCATGTCAGGAGCAACTGCTCCTGTTGTGAGAGAATTGGCCGTCTGCAAGGATGTTGCCCAGGGGACACTCAAGGCTTTAACCCACTGCGCCACTGGAGGCTCCGATAGGTAGGTAAATTGATCAGGAGGATTGCTGGGAGTTGTAGTCCAAGAATAGGTAGAGAAGGAAGAAAGGGGAGAAAGAGGAAGGGAAAGAAAAGAGGGGAAGGAAGAGAAGGAAGGAAGGAAAGAATGAAAGAAAAAAAGGGAATGAAGGAAGGAGAGAAAAGAAAGGAGGAGAGAAAGAGGGAGGGAAGCTTGGCCACAGCAATGCATGGCGGGTACAGCTAGTAAATGTAATAAGAATAGAGTAAAATTATAAGGGTAGTAATAATGATAAAAATAAATGTAGTAAGAATAGAGTAAAATATTAACATAATAACAATAATAGAGCAAAATAATAAATTAATAATAATAAAGTAAAATAATAATTGTAATAATAATAGAGTAAAATAATAAATTTATTTATTTATTTATTTATATACTTTATTTGTATAGCACCACCTGACATCAGCTGGGAAGTGGCAGCCAATAGTGAAAGGACCAAGGCAGAAACATCTCCACCTCATCCCCTGTTTGGGTATCAGCCAGCACGTCAACGACTTAAATCAAGACATAGTTTTCTTAGATCTACAGAGACACTCGCTGGAATACCCCAGCAAGCGAGAGTCCAAAAGTGGCAGGCCCAAACCCAGCACCTCAATCCATGGGTGATACCTGATGAGAGACTCCCCCCGGGCACACAGAAGACTGGGCGACTTGGAAGGCGCTGAACAGACTGCGCTCTGGCACCACGAGATGCAGAGCCAATCTTAAGAAATGGGGCTACAAAGTGGAATCCTCGACATGCGAGTGCGGAAAAGAGCAAACCACTGACCACCTGCTGCAATGCAACCTGAGCCCTGCCACATGCACAATGGAGGACCTTCTTGCAGCAACACCAGAGGCACTCCAAGTGGCCAGATACTGGTCAAAGGACATTTAATCAACTACCAACTTGCAAACTGTGTGTTTTTCTTTTTAATCTGTGTGTTTGTTTTGTTCTGTTAGAATTGTAACACAATGGTATGGTTGCTGATGACACGATAAATAAATAAATTTGTATACCGCTGATCTCAGCCCGTAGGCGACTCACAGCGGTTAACAACAAGAGCAAGAACAGCAAAAATTCAATGCTACCATTACACAGTATATAAAACAGTTAACAACATAGCGTATTATACAATTAATAAACAATTAACTACAATAACCATTCACAAGCGCCTCATCACTAAAAACATGATCCAGATTCGTCATCCATTGTTCCATTCCTATGTTCATTATACTCATTGCACTGACTATTCGAACCCCTGATCAAACAACCAGGTTTTCACTTTTTTGCGGAATACCATTAGTGATGGTGCTAGTCTAAGGTCCGTGGGAAGGGCATTCCACAGCCGAGGGGCCACCACCGAGAAGGCCCTATCTCTCGTCCCCCGCCAGCAGTAAATGTAATAATAGAGTAAAATATTAACATAATAACAATAATAGAGTAAAATAATAAATATAACAATAACAAATGAATGAATGTAATAATAAATAGAGTAAAATAATAAATGTAATAATAATAATAAATAGAGTAAAATTATAAACATAATAAAAATAATAATTGAGTAAACAATAACTGAGCATCCCAATTCCTGCATATTTCCAATTTCCTATTCCTGGACTGCAATCTCCAGCAATCCTCTAGATAGATAAGAAAGATAGATGAATATATACATTAGATAGAGATAGATAGGTAGGTAGATTGATCAGGAGGACTGCTGGGACTTGTAGTCCAAGAATAGGTAGAGAAGGAAGAAAAGGGGAGAAAGAGGAAGGGAAAGAAAAAGGAAGGGAAGAGGAAGAGAAGGAAGGAAGGAGTGAATGAAAGAAAAAAAAGGAAAGAAGGAAAGAGGGAAGGAAGGAAGGAAGGAGAGAAAGAGGGAGGGAAGGTTGGCCACAGCAAAGCGTGGCAGGGGACAGCTAGTGAATAAATACATTACCTTTCACTGCCCTCCCTCCATTCAGCACCATCATCCGCTCCCACCTCCTTGGCCAGGAAATGCAACCTCTTCCTGTGGCCAAGAGCCAAAAATACAAAAGGACAGGAAGGTGCACCAACTATTGCTTCCCCCAAAGAGAGAGAAACATAATTGCTTTCTCCAAAGAGAGAGTGAAACATAATAACCACACTTTGCCCTCCAAATTATTTACCTCCATTTCAGCCCATTGAGGCTTCCCATAGCCAGTTTTGCAATAAGTATTTTTTTGGGGGGAAATTATATTGCACCAAATTAAATAATAATAATAATAAAAGCAGTTGCTAGAATGGAACCCCAATGAGAATGCAACTGAATAAGAACCTTGCAGGTTGGAAAACGTTGCAAGGAGTAACGTATGGATTTGGAGCAGGTGGGTATGTTTCAGTAGTATTGTTGTTGTTGCTCTGTTTACTAGAGGGTTGGGTTTAATGGATTCCAATTCCCACAATCCCTAGCTGATGAGAGTCCGGAAATCTAGGGTGCAGCTTCCAAACCAAACACTAGTCCTCTAGGGTTTTTTCCTTTTGGACTTCAACTCCCAGAAGCCTCGGCTGCTTTGGCTAATGATGAGGGATTCTGGGAGTTGAAGTCCAAAACTTGCAAGTTCCCAGGGTTTGGAAACACTGCTAAATAAATGCAGTTTGAAACTACTTGAACTGCTATAGCTCTATGTTATGGAGTCCAGGGATGTGTATTTTGGTGAGACGCTGGTATTCTTTAACAGGGAAGGCCCTTGTAAAACTACAACTCCCAGGTTGCAGAGTGGGAAACACTGCTAAATAAATGCAGCTTGACACTACTTGAACTAGTGCTATGCTATGGGGTCCTGGGATGTGTAGTTTGGTGACACACTGGTATTCTTTAACAGGGAAGGCCCTTGTAAAACTACAACTCTCAGGTTGCAGAGTGGGAAACACTGCTAAATAAATGCAGCTTGACACTACTTGAACTGCTATAGCTCTATGTTATGGAGTCCTGGGATGTGTATTTTGGTGACACACTGGTATTCTTTAACAGGGAAGGCCCTTGTAGAACTACAACTCCCAGGTTGCAGAGTGGGAAACACTGCTAAATAAATGCAGCTTGACACTACTTGAACTAGTGCTATGCTATGGAGCCCTGGGATTTGCAGTTTGGTGACACACTGGTATTCTTTAACAGGGAAGCCCTTGTAAAACTACAACTCCCAGGTTGCAGAGTGGGAAACACTGATAAATAAATGCAGCTTGACACTACTTGAACTAGTGCTATGCTATGGAGTCCTGGGATTTTTAGTTTGGTGAAACACTGGTATTCTTTAACAGGGGAGGCTAAAGCCCTTGCAAGACTACAACTCCCATGCTGCATAGCCTTGAGCCATTATAGTAAAAGTGGCTAAAATTGTGGAAATCTGGGGTGTAGCTACCAAACCAAACACTAATCTCTAGGGTTTTGTTTCTTTTGGACTTCAACTCCCAGAAGCCTCAGCTGCTTTGGCCAATGGTGAGGGATTCTGGGAGTTGAAGTCCAAAACTTGAGAATTCTCAGAGTTTGCTAAATAAATGCAGTTTGACACTACTTGAACTGCTATGGAGGCCTGGGATGTGTAGTTTGGTGAGACACTGGTATTCTTTAATAGGGGAGACTAAAGTCCTTGCAAAACTACAACTCCCAGGTTGCATATCCTTGAGCCATTCCAGTGAAAGTGGCTCATTGTATGAAAGTCCTGAAATCTAGGGTGCAGTTTCCAAATCAAACAATAGTCTCTAGGGTTTTTTCCTTTTGGACTTCAATTCCCAGAAGCCTCGGTTGCTTTGGCCAATGATGAGGGATTCTGGGAGTTGAAGTCCAAAACTTGCAAGTTCCCAGAGTTTGGGAAACACTGCTAAATAAATGCAGTTTGACACTACTTAGACACTCCATGTTATGGAGTCCTGGGATGTATAGTTTGGTGAGACATTGGTATTCTTTAACAGGGAAGGCTAAAGCCCTTGCAAAACTACAACTCCCAGGTTGCATATCCTTGAGCCATTGCAGTGAAAGTGGCTCAAACTGCGGAAATTTAGGGTGCAGCTATCTAGAGTGGGTCTCTAGCTTTTTCTTTTGGACTTCAACTCCCAGAAGCATCAGCTGCTTTGGCCAATGATGAGGGATTCTGGGAGTTGAAGTCCAAAACTTGCAGGTTCCCAGACTTTGGGAAAAACTGCTAAATAAATGCAGTTTGACACTACTTGAACTGCTATGGAGTCCTGGGATTTGTAGCTTGGTGAGACACTAGTATTCTTTAATAGAGGAGGCTAAAGCCCTTGCAAAACTACAACTTCCAGGTTGCATAGCCTTGAGCCATGGCAGTGACAGTGGCTCAAATTGTCTCTGCAGCTTGATATTCCAGGCTACATCTTTTAATCTTTGCAAGGTGATGGATGCTAGACTTTTGGGTGATTTATTAATTTTCTAAACAGGCAGAAACTAGAAACAATACAGAAGCTGCAATCTGAATGGTTTGTTTATTTATAAATAAATAAATACATTTCAAATTCAGGCTCAACCCTTCCAAATTGAGCAATCTTGACATTAACATTGCATTATTATTATTATTTGGCCAATTGGGCTGGTCTTTGAATATTTCCTTGCTTCCTCTTTAATGCCAAAACAAACCCATATTTTGCTCTCTTAATAATGACGTCATCAAGCAGGAAAAGAAGGAAGCAGTAGGATGGACTGTACCAACACATTTCAGGGGGAACTATATTTTAATAAAACGTATTTCCTTTGAATTGGGAAACCAGAACCCTTCCTGGAAATATTTTTAAAAATCCTCGTCATTTGCATCGTTCCTTCATTGTTATCCCCATTTTGAAGGTTTTCTCTTTAACTGGTTTTTAGATTTAGAAGACCGCTCACCCCTCTTTTCCCAAAATGGTATGTTCCATTTGAAGACCTTGACATGGGAGATACCACTTTGCTGCCTTGTTTAGGGGGGGCCTAAATGGAGTCCTGGGCTCTCCCAAGGGCCCAAATTGAACCCTGGGCTGTCCCAATCGTTTTTTTAACGTTGCATTATTGTTATTGCGTTGGAAAAAGCGTGCAAAACGTGTGAACGTGGCTTCTTTGCAAGAAAGGAAAGCAAGGGGGAAAGAAACCTGGGTTTGGGGGCCTTTGCTTGCAAAGAGGCCTGGGCTGGAGCTGGAGAAGGTGAGTTTGCAAAATGCACACAATGAGGTCCAGGGGAAATCTGTGACGCGTGTATTTGTGGGTTGGAAATGGTCGACACGCGTCCTCACCCTAGACTTATGCAAAAGGTTAGAAGACTGAGAAGCTCCCATAGAGTCTCTTGGAAGCTGCTTTTGCAAGAGCCATTTTGCTGCCCTAAGTCTAGGCTTAGGGAGGAGGAAAACATAGATTGGGATCATTCCTTTGGGGCGTTTGCAATATATAGACTAATCCGGAATTTATAACATAACTGTGGTTAAACCGGTTTGCATTTCTTTCTTTTTGTCAAAAAATGTTGATTTTCCACCAGATACAAAATGCACTAGGCAGTTATAACACTATGATTCAGCATTAGCTGCTATGGAATTTTTGGGGAATGCATCAAAAAGGAATTATTATTATTGTCCCTTTGACACTGCTTGAATTGCCCTGGCTCAATGCTTTGGGAATCTGGGATCTGTAGTATCCCTTTGACACCGCTTGAATTGCCTTGGTTGAGTGGTATGGAAACCTGGGATTTATAGTATCCCTTTGACACCTCTTGAATCGCCCTAGCTCAAAGTTATGGGAACCTGGGATTTGTAGTATCCCTTTGACACTGCTTGAATTGCAATGGCTCAATGCTTTGGGAATCTGGTATCTGTAGTATCCCTTTGACACCGCTTGAATTGCCTTGGTTGAGTGGCATGGAAACCTGGGATTTGTAGTATCCTTTTGACACAGCTTGAATTGCCTTGGCTCAATGCTATGGGATCCTGGGATTTGTAGTATCCCTTTGACACCGCTTGAATTGCCCTAGCTCAATGTTATGGGATCCTGGGATTTGTAGTATCCCTCTGACACTGCTTGAATTCCCATGGCTCAATGCTTTGGGAATCTGGGGTCTGTAATATCCCTTTGACACCGCTTGAATTGCCTTGGCTGAGTGGTATGGAAACCTGGGATTTGTAGTATCCCTTTGACACAGCTTGAATTGCCCTGGCTGAATGGTATGGGATCCTGGGATTTGTAGTATCCCTCTGACACCAATTGATTTGCCTTAACTGAATGCTATGGGAACCTGGGATTTGTAGTATCCATTTGACCCTGCTTGAATTGCCCTGCCTCAATGCAATGGGAACCAGGAATTTGTACTATCCCTTTGACACTGCTTGAATTGCCTTGGCTGAATGCTATGGGTTCCTGGGATTTGTAGTATCCCTTTGACACTGCTTGAATTGCCATGGCTGAATGCTATGGGAACCTGGGATTTGTAGTATCCCTTTGACCCTGCTTGAATTGCCATGGCTGAATGCTATGGGATTCTGAGATTTATAGTATCCCTTTGACACTGCTTTAATTGCCTTGGCTGAATGCTATGGGATTTGTAGTATCCCTTTGACACCGCTTGAATTGCACTGCCTGAATGCTATGGGATCCTGGGATTTGTAGTATCTCTTTGACACCAATTGATTTGCCTTAACTGAATGCTATGGGAACTTGGAATTTGTAGTATCCCTTTGACACTGCTTGAATTGCCCTGCCTCAATGCAATGGGAACCAGGAATTTGTAGTATCCCTTTGACACTGCTTGAATTGCCTTGGCTGAATGCTATGGGTTCCTGGGATTTGTAGTATCCCTTTGACACTGCTTGAATTGCCATGGCTGAATGCTATGGGAACCTGGGATTTGTAGTATCCCTTTGACCCTGCTTGAATTGCCATGGCTGAATGCTATGGGATTCTGAGATTTATAGTATCCCTTTGACACTGCTTTAATTGCCTTGGCTGAATGCTATGGGATTTGTAGTATCCCTTTGACACCGCTTGAATTGCACTGCCTGAATGCTATGGGATCCTGGGATTTGTAGTATCCCTCTGACACCAATTGATTTGCCTTAACTGAATGCTATGGGAACCTGGGATTTGTAGTATCCTTTTGACACCGCTTGAATGGCCCTGGCTCAATGTTATGGGTTCCTGGGATTTGTAGTATCCCTTCGAGACCGCTTGAATTGCCCTGGCTGAATGTTATGGGAACCTGGGATTTGTAGTATCCCTCTGACACTGCTTGAATTCCCATGGCTCAAAGTTATGGGATCCTGAGATCTGGCTGAATACTATGGGATCCTGGGATTTGTAGTATCCCTTTGACACTGCTTGAATTGCCTTGGCTGAGTGGTATGGAAACCTGGGGTTTGTAGTATCCCTTTGACACAGCTTGAATTGCCCTGGCTGAATGGTATGGGATCCTGGGATTTGTAGTATCCATTTGACACTGCTTGAATTGCCCTGCCTCAATGCAATGGGAACCAGGAATTTGTAGTATCCCTTTGACCCTGCTTGAATTGCCATGGCTGAATGCTATGGGATTCTGGGATTTATAGTATCCCTTTGACACTGCTTTAATTGCCTTGGCTGAATGCTATGGGATTTGTAGTATCCCTTTGACACCGCTTGAATGGCCCTGGCTCAATACTATGGGAACCTGGTATTTGTAGTATCCATTTGACACCACTTGAATGGAGCTGGTTGAATGCTATGGGAACGTGGGATTTGTAGTATCCCTTTAACACCACTTGAATTTTCCTGGCTCAGTGCTATCGGAACATGGGATTCATGGTATTGCTTTGACACCCCTTGAATGGCCTTGGCCGAATGCTAGGGATTGCTGGGAGTTGTAGTTTTACAAGGTCTTTATCTGCCAGAGAGTGCAGGTGTCTCGCCGTACTAAAAAATTCTCAAGCTACCGGCAAAAAAACTGAAGTAGACTTAATATTACTATGTTCGATTAAATTAAATTTGTCTTTGTTTGTTTTAAATGCTGTATTCCAATACTATTAGCAAGTCAATACAGAGTTTATGTTATGATTGAGTATGGGGTGTAATATTAGATAGGCCTGTTTTTAATCGTAGCTCTCAAGCAACCAGAAATGAGATTCATCCAACATCTATCTACCAATCACCATAGCTGCCTTGTCAGTTTAGGGCCTTTGTACACTGCCATACAATCCAGATTATCAAATCAGATAATCCACATTATCTGCTTTGAACTGGATTATATGAGTATACTGTGCCATATAATCCAGTTTAAAGCTGATAATCTGGATTTTATATGGCAGTGTAGAAGGGGCCACAGACTGGATCTACACTGCCATATAAACCAGTTTCTGAGTCCAAATTATCTGCTTTGAACTGGGTTTGCAGAGAAGGCTAAAAGTCTTCTAAAACTACAATTCCTATGATTCCGAAGCATTGAGCCATGGCCTTGGGTCTGTGCTAAGAAATCCTGGGATCTGTAGTATGGCAATACACCTGCACTCTCTGGCAGATAAGGACCTTGTAAAACTACAACCCCCAGGAATCCATAGCATTCAGCCAAAACCATTCGAGGGGTGTCAAAGAAATACTACAAATCCCAGATTCCCATAGCATTCAGCCAGGGCAATTAAAGTGCCAGATAATCCAGTTCAAAGCGGATCAACTGGATCCAGAAACTGGATCATATGGCAATGTAGATTGGGCCTGAGACTCTGTTGTTGTTGTTGTTGTTGTTTTCTTAACTGCCTCTTGCCAAGGCTTAAGGTATTGTACAACATTGTTAATATACGGTACATAGGTAAAAAACACAAAACCGTTCAAATGGGCAGAATAAAAGATCTTCCTTCTTGTTTTGCAGACCCTGTTCAGCTTTTTTGTGTGAATGCAACTGCATGCGTGAATGCAGCTGGGCTTGGACACAGGGAAATAACCCCAAAGTGGGGTGTCGAAGGCTCCCCCTCCAAGAGGAACCCTCCATAAACATGGCAAGTCGTTGTTCGGTGGCCAGCTGCCTAAATCGTCGCTGGCATGGCAGCCGCGTCACCTTTCACAGGTAGGGCCTTTTCCTATGAATTATTTTGGGTGACCTTTCTAACATTGTCAGTGTTTGTACGTCGCACGAATCCATTTGTTATGGATGCATCTGCACTGTAGGATTGATGCGGTTTGATACCATTTTAACTGCCATGACTCAAGGCTATGGTATCCTGGGAGTTGCAGTTTGGTGAGGCCCTAGCCCTTGTTGGCAGAGAAGACCTTGCAAAACTATATCTCTCAGGATTCCATAGCATTGAGGCATCACAGTTGAAGTAATGCCAAACTGCATTAATCCTACAGTGAAGGCTGCAGATACACAGATACACTGCCATATAATCCAGATTATCAAAACAGATAATAATAGTAATAATAGTAATAATAATCATCATCATAATCATATAAGCCAGTCAAGGTGGTCCCAATGGTGATCGGCACACTGGGTGCAGTGCCTAAAGACCTTGGCCTGCACTTAAACACAATGGACGCTGGCAAAATTACCATCTGCCAGCTGCAGAATGCCACCTTACTGGGATCTGCAGGCATTATTCGCGGATACATCACACAGTCCTAGACACTTGGGAAGTGTCCGACGTGTGATCCAATACAACAGCCAGCAGAGTGATCTTGTCTGGTGTGGACTCATCTTGTTGTGTTTCTAATAATAATAATCATCTTCATCTTTATTTATACCCCGCCACCATCTCCCCAAAGGGGAATTGGGTCGGCTAAGAGGCCAAGCCCAAAATTACATATAAACAATAATCCACAATATCTGCTTTGAACTGGATTATATGCGTTTACAGTGCTATATGATCCAGTTCTAAGCAGATAATCTGCCTTTTGGAGCCCCCGGTGGCGCAGTGGGTTTAACCCCTGTGCTGGCAGGATTGAAGACCGACAGGTTAGAGGTTTGAATTTGGGGATAGCGTAGATGAGCTCCCTCTGTCAGCTCCAGCTCCCGATGCAGGGGCATGAGAGAAGCCTCCCACAAGGATGGAAAAACTTCAGAACATCTAGGCGTCCTCTGGGCAACATCCTTGCAGACGGCCAATTCTCTCACACCAGAAGTGACTTGCAGTTTCTCCAGCTGCTCCTGATACGAAAATAATAATCTGCCTTTTATATGGCGGTGTAAAAGGGACCGAGTGTTAGATTCACTCATAGTATGGGTGATCCAACAGTATTGTTATAGGGTTGTTGCAGGTTTGTTGTTATTGTTATATCCAAAATGAACATTTTATGCAAATAAAGAATTCAACAACCTTTGTCCCTGCATATTTCTGGGTTTAATGGATTTGAGGAGTCGCAAAAGACCATCAGAAAACACAGCATTTTCTGTTGGCCATGAGGGTTCTGTGTGGGAATTTTGGCCCAATTCCATCGTTGGTGGGGTTCAGAATGCTCTTTGATTTAGGTGAGCTATAAATCTCAGCAACTACAACTCCTAAATGTCAAAGTCTATTTTCCCCTAACTCCACCAGTGTTCACATTTGGGCATCTTGAGTATTCGTGCCAAGTTTGGTCCAGATCCACAGGGCCCACAGTGCTCTCTGGATATAGGTGAACTACAACTCCAAAACTCAAAGTCAATGCTCACCAATCCCTTCCATGATTTTCTGTGTGCCATGGGAACTCTGTGTGCCAAGTTTGGTTCAATTCCATCACCCAACCCCACCAATATTCAAATTTGGGCATATCGGGTATTTGTGCCAAATTTGGTCCAGTGAATGAAGATACATCCTGCATATCGGATATTTACATGACGATTCATAACAGTAGCATAATTACAGTTACGAAGTAGCAAAGAAAATAATTTCTTGGTTGGGGGTCCCCACAACATGAGGAACTGTATTAAGGGGTCGTGGCATTAGGAAGCTTGAGAAACACTGTTCTAGGACATAAGAAGGGGGAAATTATAAACCTTGTTTATACTGTCAAGAATATATGAAACATATATATATAGGTAAAGGTAAAGATTATCCCCTTACATGAAGTCCAGTCGTGTCCGACTCTGGGGTGTGGTGCTCATCTCCATTTCTAAGCTGAAGAGCCGGCGTTGTCCGTAGGCACCTCCAAGGTCATGTGGCCAGCATGACTGCATGGCGCGCTGTTACATTCCCTCCGGAAAAATACCTGTTGATCTACTCACATTTGCATGTTTTTGAACTGCTAGGTTGGCAGAAGCTGGGGCTGACAGCGGAAGCTCACGCCGCTCCCGGATTCGAACATGCGACCTTTTGGTCAACAAGCTCAACAGCTCAGCGCTTTAACTCACTGCGCCACCAGGGGCTCCAACATATATATAACTATGTATATATTATATTGTAATATATATTATTACAGGCAGGGAGCTCTGGGGTGGGCTGGTCCATGAAGTCACGAAGAGTTGGAAGCGAGTGAATGAATAAACAACAAATATAATTTATATAGAGAGAGAAAGCATAAAACTCTTGTAAGGAGTTAATTTAACCCCCGGTTAGTTAGCAAAGCTGAACGACCCAGGTTGCAAAAAGATGCAAGTCTGAAAAGCTTGTCACCAATATGAGAAGCTTGAAAAGCTTGACCTAGTCTTCCCAAAATAGTGTTTTCCCAGGTTAATACATTTTTGTGTGTTGTTTTAATTCATGTTTTTTTCCACCTTTGTAGGGTTCCTATGCCCCTAATCCAGTGAATGTGGAGAACTTAGTGTAGCTGATTGTGTGATTTTTCTCTCTTCCAACCCAATTAATGCAGGTTTCCTCTTGCAAAGGAAGACCAATTGCAAAAGTGGCTCGCAAATATTGGACGCCCCAACTTCACTCCATCGTACAACGATGTCATTTGCTCTGAGCATTTCAAAAAGACGGATTTTTGGGCGAACGTGGCTTCTGGGAGGAGAGAACTGAAGCCCGGAGCAGTCCCGACTGTGTTCCGGCTACCTGGCCGGCCAAAAAGGGTAAGTTGTGCTGCTCTTATACAGGAATTGTTCAGTTTATTTTATTTATTTATTTATTTACAGTATTTATATTCCACCCTTCTCACCCCGCAGGGGACTCAGGGCGGATTACAATGTAAATATACGTCACAGACATTCAATGCCATAGACACACAACATATATAGACAGACACACAGAGACAATTTAACATTCCAGCTTTTTCATGATGGTATTCTGGCCACCAGGGGAGCTGTCGCTTCACCATCCATTTCTGTCACCGATGAAGTATTCCTCATTCTTTACATGCTTGCTGGAGATTTTTATGGCGTCGTAAATTAGCCTCCCTGCATAAGCAGCACCTAAATTTCCCACTCAACAGATGCAACTGTCTTTTGGGCTGCAAAGGTCGACAGCAAGCTACACAAATTGGTTGGAAGCTCGCTCCAACCCGGGCTGGCTTCGAACTCATGACCTTTTGGTCAGTAGTGATCATAATGCAGCTGACTCCCAGCCATCTGCACCCCATTTCCATTTCATTTCATTTCTTTGTTTATTTATCATGTCAGAAGCAAGTTGAGGGTACATTTAAATGGCATTTTAAAATACAGTTTTAAAAAAACCCTTGGCATTATGCTAAATGTCTGGGTTGTTGTGTGTTTTCCGGGCTTTATGGCCATGTTCCAGAAGCATTCTCTCCTAACAGTTCACCCACATCTGTGGCAGGCCTCCTCAAAGGTTGTGAGGTCTGTCGGAAACTAGGAAAATGGGGTTTACATATCTGTAAGTGTGAATGTTTCCATTGGCCACCTTGATTAGCATTTAATGGACTGGCAGTTTCAGGTGTATTGACTTACTGCCTGGGGGAGCCTCCACCACTCCCCATGGTTATTCACGGTTATTTATTATTTTACTCTGTTATTAGTATTACTTTTATTACATTTATTATTTTACTTAATGTGTTATTATATTATTATTATTATTATTATTATTATTATTATTATTGTTATTATTATATGTACAGTATTTTACAGTATAATTATTAATGCATTTATTATTTTACTCTATTTATTATTATTATTACATTTATTTTACTCTATTATTTTTGTTATTGTTGAATTTCCATTATTTTACTCCATTATTATTATTATTATTATTACATTTATTATTTTACTCTATTATTATTGGAAGGATATGTAAGCACATTTACATTGAAGAAGGTCAGAATAATAGTTTAATCAGAGTTGGGCAGTCTTATCTTAAATTACAGTTTTATGTAAATATTCAAAACCACTTAACCTGCTGATTCTGCAATTAATATAATTTTATCAATAACTATTTTTATGTATTGTCGAAGGCTTTCATGGCCGGAATCACTGGGTTGTTGTAGGTTTTTCCGGGCTATATGGCCAAAAATTGCCTCCAGAACATGGCCATATAGCCCGGAAAAACCTACAACAACCCATCTATTTTTATTTTGAAATTTACCAATAGAGGCTACATTTCCCACCCTTGGCTTATACAAGAGTCAATACGTTTTCCCAAGTTTTTTGTGGTAAAATTAGGTGCCTCGGCTTATATTCGGGTCGGCTTATACTCAAGTATATATGGATATGTGTTTTTTAAAAAATATTCTTCCACAGGGTGCTAAAAGGATTAGTGCTAGAAAGAGATTTACCCTTATCCGGCATAAGACACCAGTTCCCAAACCGAGCCGTCCACCAGAACCTGGTGATAGTAAAGCCGAAGCACCATCCTCCAAGAGCGACATCGTAACTCTGGAACACTCCTACTCTTTTCTGGCAAGCCCAGGTAAGAGCCAAGACACTGATTTCATGAAAGGTATAGCTGACAGGTGCTGAATGTACTAGACAGAGAGAGAAACAGAGAGAGGATGGATGCCTCAAAGCCATTGAAAGAGCTATGATTTGGGGTGCATCTACATTGTCAAATTAATGCAGTTTGACAACACTTAAACTGTCATAGCTCAGTTCTACAGGATTCTGGACTCTTCTCTGCACGCTTTGTCAGAAAAGGCTAAAGTAAAGGTAAAGGTTTCCCCTTGACATTAAGTCTAGTTGCGTCTGACTCTGGGTGACTATGCTCATCTCCATTTCTAAGCCAAAGAGCCAGCGTTGTCCGTAGACACCTCCAAGGTCATGTGGCCGGCATGACTGCAAGGAGCGCAATTACCTTTCCACTGGAGCGGTACCTATTGATCTCACATTTGTATGTTTTCAAACTGCTAGGTTGGCAGAAGCTGGGGTTAACAGCGAGAGCTCACCCTGCTCCCCGGATTCGAACCACCAACCTTTTGGTCGGCGAGTTCAGCAGCTAGGCAGTTTAACCCTCTGTGTCACTGGGAGCTCCTCAGAGAAGGCCGAAGACCTTGTAAAACTACAAATCCTATGATTTCATAGCACTGAGCCATGGTCGTTAAAGTTGTGTCAAACCGCAGTGTAGATGCACACCAGCCCAAAGCAGTTCTGTGAAGAGCTTTGATAAATTCATCCTCTTTAGTCGTAAATTGGAAAGAAGTTTAATATCCGTCATCCAGAATTTCTAAATCCATTTTTAATATCCCTTATTCAGAATTCCTAAATACTCCAAAAGCTGAAATACTTTTTTCTTTGCTCCCAAAATCCCTCCAAATGTTTTCTAAGCCACATTTTGGGCAATTTAAAACTCACAAGCCCTTTTTAAAAAGCTGGAAGTGAACTAAAGTGACTTCTGATCACTTCCTATTTGGAAAAAAATGCTTCTTTTGGGCTAAATATTATAATAATAGTAATAATAATAATAATAATAATAATAATAGTAGTAGTTTGACTTGTGATTTTGTGATACGAAATCCAGCACATATATCTAATTTTCTGTGACATACTGTGTTTTTGTGTCAGTAAAATAATAATAATAATAATAATAATAATAATAATAATAAAAAGGTAAAGGTGTCCCCTGACATTAGTCGTGTCTGACTCTGCAGAGTGGTGCTCTTCTCTATTTCTAAGTTGAAGTGCAGGAGTTGTCCGTAGACGCCACCAAGGTCATGTGGCCAGCATGACTACATGGAATGCCATTACCTTTCCACAGAAACGGTACTTATTGATCTACTCACATTTGCATGTTTTCAAACTGCTAGGTTGGCAGAAGCTGGGGCTAATAGCAGGAGCACACCCCGCTCCCCGGATTCAAACTGCTGACCTTTTGGTCAGCAAGTTCAGCAGCTCAGCAGTTTAACCTGCTGTGCCACAGGGGGCCATAATAACAGTATAATACTAATAATAATTATAATAATCATATAATTCAGGAAACTCAAAACAAAACAAAAAATATTTATTTACTTATTTACTATATTTATATACTGCCCCTCTCAGTCCGCAGGTGACTCAGAGCAGTTTACAGTCAACACCAAAACCATAAAATACAATTAAAACATTAATATAAATATAAATCCAAGTAAAATCAACCAATATCAATAAAAACATGTATCATTAGAGTCTCCTTGTTAAAAACATTGTCCAGTCTCAAAGGCATTGAGAGAGATCTGGAAAAGATTTTATCTTTCAGTCCCCAGCCTGCTAGAGTTGCCTGCCCCTGATTTAGGACCCATCTACACTAACCACTTAAGCCAGTTTCAAACCAGTATCAAAGTGATATCGCTTTGCAGGTGATTACATAGGAAATCCGGAAACTGGGTTGAGGTCCAGATGGTGATGGCACAAATCACAGAGCGCTGGTGCACATTAAGGGCTTTTATTTGTGAAATTATTGTCTAACCACTGCATGCTTGAAGCTAGCTCCAAACTGCATTAAATGGTCAGTGTCAATTCTTCTCTGCTCCCCATCCCTGTAGCCTCCTCTGCCTTGGATCTTCGGGTTGCGTCAACACGGGACCAAGGCACAGCTGACGTTGAAGCACGGAAAAGCCTCCGCCTGCTCCAGGCCAAGTCCAAGAGAGAAAACATGGAAAAAACAACCCTGGAAGCGCAGGCCCTTGACCCTGAGGAACAGCGCCTGCGCTTCCGGGGCTTCTGCTACCAAGAGGTCGAGGGGCCTCGCAAGGTTTGCAGCCACCTCTGGGACCTTTGCTGCCAGTGGCTGAAGCCCGGGAGGAACACCAAGCTGCAGATGCTGGAGTTGGTCATCCTGGAGCAGTTCCTCTCTGTCCTGCCCCGGGAAATGCAAGGCCACGTCAAGGCGAAGACGCCTTCAAGCTGCGATGAAGCAGTAGCCCTGGCAGAAGATTTCCTCCACACTCAGCAAGAAGAGGTGAGAGCCATTCCTTTTGGGGTTGTGCAAGGATTGTTCTGGTGTGCCTGTTTCTGAGTTTGCAAGCATGGGCAAACCTTGGCCCTCCAGGTTTTTTGGACTTCAGCTCCCACAGCTGTTAGGAATTGTGAGATTTGAAGTCCAAAACACCCGAAAGGCCAAAGTTGGCCCATGCTTGAACCCCAACAAATGTGGAGTGTTGACTGTATTACAGAATCTGAAAAAAAAATCTGGTCTCAGCAGTGGCAAGGGAAGCTTTTGCACAATTAAAACTTGTGTGCCAGCTGCACCCGTACCTTGGGAAGTCTGACTTTACCACAGTGGTCCACGCTCTTGTTACATCCCAATTAGACTACTGCAATGCGCTCTACATGTGGCTGCCTTTGAAGACTGCCTGGAAGCTTGGCTACTTTGGAAAGTCTGACTTTACCACAGTGGTCCACGCTCTTGTTACATCCCAATTAGACTACTGCAATGCGCTCTACATGGGGCTGCCTTTGAAGACTGCCCGGAAGCTTGGCTACTTTGGAAAGTCTGACTTTACCACAGTGGTCCACGCTCTTGTTACAGCCCAATTAGACTACTGCAATGCGCTCTACATGGGGCTGCCTTTGAAGACTGCCTGGAAGCTTGGCTACTTTGGAAAGTTTGACTTTACCACAGTGGTCCACGCTCTTGTTACATCCCAATTAGACTACTGCAATGCACTCTACATGGAAAGACTGACTTGGCCACAGTGGTCCACGCTCTTGTTGCATCCCAATTAGACTACTGCAATGGGGCTGCCTTTGAAGACTGCCCGGAAGCTTCAGCAGTTAGGTTGCTCACCAGAGTGGCGTACAGGGAGCATACAATCCCTCTGTTACACCAGCTCCTCTGGTTGCCGATCTACTACTGAGCACAATTCAAAGTGCTGGTTTTAACCTTTAAAGCTCTAAACCAGAGGTCCTCAAACTATGTCCCAGGGCCGGATATAGCCCTCCAAGGTCATTTACCCCCAGGGGTCCACAAACCTTTTAAACAGAGGGCCAGGTCACACTCCCTCAAACTGTTGGAGGGCCAGATTATAATTTGAAAAAGACATGAACGAATTCCTATGCACACTGCACATATCTTATTTGTAGTGCAAAAAACACTTAAATGCATTACAATAATTAAAACAAAGAACAATTTTAACAAATACAAACTTATTAGTAATACAATGGGAGGTTATGGCCTGTTTTTGGCTGATGAGATAGGATTGTTGTTGTTGTTGTGTGCTTTCAAGTCGTTTCAGACTTAGGTTGACCCTGAGCGAGGGCCGGGTAAATGACTTTGGAGGGCTGCATCTGGCCCCCGGGCCTTAGTTTGAGGACCCCTGATTTACCCGGCCCTCGCTCAGGCTCAACCTAAGTCTGAAACGACTTGAAAGCACACAACAACAACAACAACAATCCCATCTCATCAACCAAAAGCAGGCCCACACTTCCCAATGAAATACTAATAAGTTTATATTTGTTAAAATTCTTCTTCATTTTAATTATTGTATTGTTTTTAAGTGTTTTTTGCACTACAAATAAGATATGCGCAGTGTTTATAGGAATTCATTCATGTTTTTTTCAAATTATAATCCGGCCCTCCAACAGTTTGAGGGACTGTGACCTGCCTTCTGTTTAAAAAGTTTGAGGACCCCTGCTCTAAACGGTTCTGGCCCAGACTACATGTCCGAATGTATCTCCTACTACGAATTATCATGAAGTTTATGATCATATGGAGAGGCCCTGCTCTTGATCCCACTGCCGTCGCAAATGCGATAGGTGGAGACGAGAGACAGGGGCGTCTCAACAGTGGCTCCCCGTCTGTGAATTGTTCTGCGTCCTACTCTCCAGGGCAGCAGAAAACAAGCTTGCTCCCTCCTCCCTGTGACTTCCTCTTATGTATTTATACATGGCTATCATGTCTCCTCTCAGCCTTCTCTTCTTCAGGCTAAACATTCCCAGCTCTTTCAGCCGCTCTTCATAGGACTTGTTCTCCAGACCCTTGATCATTTGAGTCGCCCTCCTCTAGACACATTCCAGCTTGTCAATATCTCTCCTCAATTGTGGTGCCCAGAATTGGACACAGCATTCCAGATGTGGTCTAAGCAAGGCAGAATAGAGCATGGGGAGCATGACTTCCCTGGATCTATTTATTTATTTATTTATTTAAAACATTTATATTCCGCCCTTCTCACGGCGAAGGGGACTCAGGGAGAAGCACAGCATATATATGGCAAACATTCAATGCCGGGACACTAATTCACATACAATACATAAACATTAAAAACATTTATCAAAATACTAAAGTACACCATTTAAAACAATTCGCCTGGCCATCTTTCCTATTGCTGCTTTATTGCATTGTCCCAAAAGCTTGGTCCCACAGCCATGTTTTTACCATCCTTCTAAAGGACAGGAGGGAGGGGGCCGACCTGATCTCACCAGGAAGGGAATTTCATAGCCGGGGAGCAATCACCGAGAAGGCCCTGTCTCTCGTCCCCACCAATCGCACCTATGACAGTGGCGGGATGGAAAGCAGGGCCTTCCCGGAGGATCTTAATCTCCACGATGGTACATAGGTACATCTAGACCAGGGGTCCTCAAACTAAGGCCCGGGGGGCGGATGCGGCCCTACAAGGTCATTTACCCGGCCCTCGCTCTGGGTCAACCTAAGTATGAAACTACTTGAAAGCACACAATAACAACAACAATCCTATCTCATCAGCCAAAAGCAGGCCCACACTTTCCATTGAAACTCTTAATAAGTTTATATTTGTTAAAATTGTTGTTCGTTTTAATTATTGTATTGTTTTAAAATGTTTTTTGCACTACAAATAAGATATTTGCAATGTGCATGATTTATTCGAATTATAATCTGGCCCATCAACAGTTTGAGGGATTGTGACCTGGCCCTCTGTTTAAAAAGTTTGTGGACCCTGGCATAGGAATTCATTCATGGTTTTTTCGAATTATAATCTGGCCCGCCAACAGTTTGAGGGACTGTGACCTGGCCCTCCGTTTAAAAAGTTTGTGGACCCCTGATCTAGACAGTAGACTCCTATTGATGCAAGCCAAAATGATCAAGGGTCTGGAGAACAAGCCCTATGAGGAGCGGCTTAAAGAGCTGGGTATGTTTAGCCTAAAGAAGAGAAGGCTGAGAGGAAACATGATGAGGGCCATGTATAAATATGTGAAGGGAAGTCATAGGGAAGAGGGAGCAAGCTTGTTTTCCGCTGTCCTGGAGACTAGGACGTGGAGCAATGGCTTCAAATTATAGGAAAGGAGATTCCATTTGAACATGAAGTAGAATGTCCTGACTGTGAGGAGCTGTTCAGCAGTGGAACTCTCTGCCCCGGAGTGTGGTGGAGGCTCCTTCTTTGGAGGCTTTTAAGCAGAGGCTGGATGGCCATCTGTCGGGGGTGCTTTGAATGCAATCTTCTTGCTTCTTGGCAAGGGGTTGGACTAAATGGCTTATGAGGTCTCTTCCAATTCAATGATTCTGTGTTTCTATGAATGTGTAACCATTTCTCTCGTTTTAGGAGGTGACGGACGATGCCACCAAGGCAAAGAAGCCTCCCTTGGGCGCGAGTCCTGTCAAGAAGGTGGATGAAAACGCTCCTGAATTAGGTAGAGATCTATTCCGCCATGGATACCCGAAACCATGGATGACCTCTCAGCATATCATATCCTTTCAGGGTTCTCATTGTTTTCTTTTTTGTCCCAGAATATGTCGTTGCAGCAGAAGAGAACCAGGTGGTGGAGAGCCATCGAAACGAAGGCCTTGGCACAGAAGAAGGGATGGTGCCGGAGAACGTTTCTTCCGTGGTAGAAGTTGCCGAAAGTGGGTCCCCATTACGGAAGATTGGGAGTGGCGGGAGGGAAAAGTGGCCTAGTGTGTAGGCCGAAGCCTACATAGGCGAATTTCACCTCAGAGGAGGAACGAGAGGAGGGAGTGGGATTGTCCTCAAGAGCGATGTATTCGTGCTTTATTATTCTTTTGTGTTGGCTTAATTGAGGCTCAAGTTTCTTATTTCTTTGGTTGTATTTACAGGTGAGGTGTGGGCCAGCCATGAGGAGGGACAGCCCTGTGTGACGTCGCCTGAAGAAAACAAAGGGAATCCTGCCAATATGGAGGGCGGTGAAGCCAAGGAGAAAGAGACAACGATAGGTAGCCATCATGGCGCAAGGTGGCCCAATACAGGATGAAAAACCATCACTCGGATCTATCCTCAAGGAAAACCAAGCCTTTTTCTTCTGGCTCCATCTTGTGCTTTCCTGTTTGCTTATCACAATGAGGCCGCTTTTGAGATGAGAGGATTGAAAGTGGCTTCAGTTATATGTGATGGACTCAAGGCCCACCATAATAATCTATATAAATAAAAATGTAATGTTCGTTTGTGGAATGAACATAACTCAAAAACCATTGGGCGAATTGACACCAAATTTGGCCACAAGACTCCTATCAGGCCAACAAGTGACCATCACTCATAAAAACACTGAAAAACACAGCAGAAGAGACTTAAAAACCAAAAACCAAAAAACACATTACAATGCATGCGCAAAACCACCTATATATATACACAAATACACATATACAAATATATATATACATACACAAAACACATATACCCAGACTGGGCCACAGCAATGCATGGCATGGGACAGCTAGTAATCTATATAAATAAAAATGTAATGTTTGTTTGTGGGATTAACATAACTCAAAAACCACTGGACAAATTGACACCAAAATTGAACACAATACACGTCTCAGGCCAACAAGTGACCATCACTCATAAAAACACCAAAAAACACAGCAGAAGAGACTTAAAAAGCAAAAAAATCAAAAATACATTGCAGCGCATGTGCAAAAGCACATACATACACACACAAATATACACACACACAAAACACATATACACAGACTGGGTCACAGCAACATGTGTCAGGGGACGGCTAGTCTATATAAATAAAAACGTAATGTTCATTTGTGGGATTTACATAACCCAAAAACCACTGGACGAATTGACACCAAATTTGGACACAAGACACCTATCAGGTCAACAAGTGACCATCATGCCAAAAAACACAGCGACAAAAGTAACTCCAACCCCAAAAGACTGTTAGAAAGGCTGTTGGGAATTGTGGGAGTTGGAGTCCAAAACCCCTGGAGGGCCCAAGTTTGCCCCTACCTGGTCTACTCTTTGGAATTAATCCACAGCATTGAGCCATGGTAGTTAAAGGGACCCCATAGGGCATCCAGCCCATCCACTTTTGGCAGTAAAGGAAGACACCATCAAAGCCTACCCAACAGATGACCATCCAATTTGAAAGGAGCCCCAAAGGCCATCCAGTCCAACCTCATTGGGCGGTAATCAAAGCCTACCCAACAGATGGCCAACCATTTGGAAGGGAGCCCCAAAGGCCATCCAGTCCAACCCCCTTTGGTCTTAGAGATGTCTGTCTGTTTGTCCGACCATCCATCTACTATTCTATCTATCTGTCTATCTATCTATGTTCTATCCATCTATCTTCTGTTCCATTTATCAATGTCCCTTCCTTCTGTCTATTGTTTAATGCCTGGAATTCTTCTGTTCTTGAGGGCCACAGCAACGCATGACAGGGGATGGCTAATAATAATAATAATAATAATAATAATAATAATAATAATAATAATCTAGAAGCATTCTCTCCTGACGTTTCACCTAAATGGATTGCAAGCCTACCTCTGAGGATGCTTGCCATAGATGCAGGCGAAACATCATGAGAGAATTCTTCTAAAAAATGGTCATATAGCTCAAAAAACTACAACAACCCAGTGATGCCTGCCATGGAAGCCTTCGAAAATACAATAAAAACAATAATAATAAACTTTATTTATAACCTGCCACTATCTCCCCAGAGGGGACTCGGGGCGGCTAACATGAGGCCAAGCCCAAAAATGGTACAGCATATTTAGGCACAAACAACTCAAAAATTACATCATAACAAAGTACATAAAATAACAGAATAAAATAAATGATACAAAATAACGTAATAAAATCAAACACCAAGGGTGGGCCAAATGAACGAGATAAAATGTTAAAACCCTGGGAGAGAGAGGAATAGAGAAAGTGTATTTGTGAGAGAGGAGCCCACAGAGGAGGAGCACTGGGGTTTGGACTTTATTAAGGACAGGGGAAAGCGCATTATGAGGACAACTGTAGATGGCAACAAACAAACAGGTCAACAACAACAACAACAATAATGACTGTGCAAAGACTGGCACAAACAAGTAAAGGTGATCCCAGTGGTGATTGGCACACTGGTTGTAGTGCCTAAAGACCTTGGCCTGCACTTAAACACAATCGGCGCTGATTGTGTTTACCATCTGCCAGCTGCAAAAGGCCACTCTACTGGGATGTGCAAATGAACATTACATTTTTATTTATATAGATTTTGCAGCTCTAGGGCAGTGATACTGCATGTAATGATTCCATAAATAGCGGGTTGTAGTGTAATAAACTTGTTTTAACAATAATAAAATTAAATGTGTATGATAAAATACAGTGGTTCTCAACCTGTGGGTCCCCAGATGTTTTGACCTTCAACTCCCAGAAATCCTAACAGCTCATAAATCGGCTGAGGTTTCTGGGAGTTGTAGTCCAAAACACCTGGGGACCGACAGGTTGAGAACCACTGCTCTAGGGTGATTGTAGCTCTAACCATAACTCTTTGTTGACTCTACCAGGGAATTACCAAATTGAGGTGAATGAGAGCGGTCATCTGGAAAGATCTGAGCAAACAGACAATGGCAGGGAAACATCACTAGAAGAGGCCAAAGGGAATGATATGCAGGATCTTAATGTTCAGGACCCCTCTCAAGATGGAGAAGGCCCATATGGATGTTCTAAGTGTGGAGAAAGCTTCAGCGATAAATCCCTCCTCCTTGAGCACAGAAAATCTCATCCAGGAGAAAAGCGATACAGCTGCTCCTTGTGTGAAAAAAAGTTCAATAAGAAAGCATGTCTGATTGCACATGAGAAATCTCACACAGAAGATAAACCTTATCAGTGCTCCGACTGTGGGAAAGCGTTTGGTCAGGAATCGTCCCTTGTGACGCATCAAAGGATCCACACTGGAGAAAAACCGTATGAATGCCAGGAGTGTGGGAAAAGCTACCCCTGGAAAACATCCCTTGCGGTGCATCAAAAAATCCATGCAGGGGAGACCTTCTCGTGCCAACTGTGTGAGAAAACTTTCAATCAGAAATCATTACTGAGGATACACCAGAAGATTCATACAGCAGAAAAGCTGTACAAGTGTGCAGATTGCGACCAGAGTTTCACCCTGGAAAAATACCTCAATGCCCACAGGGTGAGGGCTCACACGCGAGAGAGGCCTCATGCTTGCTCCCACTGTGACAAAACGTTCATTTTTAAGTATTCTCTCATTGAACATGAGCGGATGCACACAGATGAGAGGCCTTATGAATGTTCAGATTGTGGGAAACGCTACAATGGGAAAGCTGCCCTCGTCGTCCACCAAAATACCCATGCAGGGCAGAAGTCATTTCTGTGCCCTGAGTGTGGTAGGAGCTTCAAAACCAAATGTGCCTTGACTGGACATGAGAAACGCCACAGAGGAGTGAAGCCCTATACATGCTCGCATTGTGACAAAAGCTTCTTCTGGAAACACCTCCTTGCTTTACACGAGAGAATCCACACAGGGGAGAGACCCTATAAATGCACCGAGTGTGACAAAAGCTTCCGATATAGGAACAATCTGGCTATACACAAAAAGAACAGCCATGAGACCATCCTCAAAAGGGAGAGGACCTACCAGTGCTCGATTTGCGGCAAAAGTTTTCGCTGGAGAAGGAGTTTTGTCATGCACGAAAGAGCCCACACAGGGGAGAAACCCTACAAATGCCTCGACTGTGGAAAAAGCTTCATGAGCCGCGTGTCCCTTATCGTTCATAAGAGACTACATACGGGAGAGAGACCCTTTCACTGCCCTGAATGTGGGAAGAAGTTCATTAATAAACAGGCCCTGAGTAAACACAAGATCGTCCATACGGGAGAGAGGAAATATTCATGCACTGTGTGTGAGAAAAGGTTTGCCAATAAAGGCAACCTAATGAGACACATGAAGATCCATACAGGAGAGAAACCCTACAGCTGCCACATATGTGGGAAAAGCTTTATTCAGAAGGTTTGCCTCATGGAGCATGAGCCGACCCATCGCAAAGACAAGCCGTATGTCTGCTTGGAGTGCGGCAAAAAATTCAAACGGAGAAAAGGCTACCTTTCACACATGAGGATGCATAGGGGAGAGAGTGCGCCAGAACCCGCAAAGAAAAGCGTGAACAATGAGGAGTCTGTTGTTACAAGCAGGAAAACCCCGGCCAATGAGAAATTGCATCCGTGCCCGATTTGCGGCAAGAACTTCAAATCGCGCTGCCACCTTATCCTTCATCAGAGGACCCACACAGGAGAGAAACCCTATCAGTGCTCTGAATGTGGGAGACGTTTCAGTCAACAGTCGTCGCTCAACACACACCAGAAGGTCCACACAGGCGAAAAGCCCTCTTTGTGTACAGAGTGTGGAAAGAGCTTCCATAATAAAAGTAATTTAGCCCGGCACCAGCGAATCCACACGGGGGAGAAGCCGTTCATGTGCCAAGAGTGTGGGAAGAGCTTCAACCAGAAGGCTTCCTTGGTGGCGCACCAGACGACCCACAGCCAAGACAAGCTCTACTCGTGCCCAGACTGTGGGAAGACATTTAAGCTCAAAATGTCCCTCCACATACACCAGAGAACTCACACAGGCGAGAAGCCCTACGAATGCTCTCAGTGCGAGAAGCGATTCATTCGACGTTCCCAGCTGAGACGGCATGAGAAGACACACGCAGGTGAGAATCCCCTTGATGTATGAAGGAAAATGTGGGAAGGTACTATGGGGAAATCCTGGCAATACTGTTCCAGATTACATAGTTGAACACTCTGCCACATGATAGCTACAATCAGTGATAGATTTAGAAAGGGTAAACCCATAGAGCAGAGCTTTCCAAGCATTTCATGTTGGTGACATACTTTTTAGACTTGCATCATTTTGCGACACAGTAATTCAGTTTTAGTAGCAAACTGGAGGTTAACCTTACGAGACATATGGACACATACATAAATTGTAATAATGTAATGTCTGGGGACCCAACAAAACTCATGAAGTCCTTTCATTTCTATTTTTCAAAATACATGATTTGTAAGATAATTTCATACATTTCTACGATTTTGTCATTTTTTGTTACATTCACACGACCCACATTGCATTTGATATACTAATGTGTCGCAACACACAGTTTGGAAAGCTCTGTTGTAGAGAGTGGGACCATCAACTATGTCTTTGGCTTCTCTGCTGAAGAGTTCTGGTGCTTCACCAAATTACAAATCCCAGCATTGTATGAATCTGTGTTATCTATAGCGGAGTAGAGTAGAGTGTAGTGTAGCCAATGCTACATATGAACTGATGGTAGGAAACAGGAGAGAAAATGTGCAGGATACTCTAGTAAGGTTTTAAAAGGGAAATAACTTCATTTTATTATTGCCATTTGCAGTTAATATGAAAAGTATATACACAAAAGAAAGACACACAAAATTGGTCGAAGAGTCCCTAATGCTGACTCTTGTGTGTGTGCGTAAGGCATCTTGAGGAAGAAATGTTCCCTTTTCAAACCATAAGACTAATAAAGCACAGTAAAGACTTCTGGTAAAAAGGAGACATGACTCAAAACACCTTGAGTCACATAGATCTAGGAAAGAGACCATCCAAAATCACTTCAGAAAAAAGGCAACGATCTGTTTATGAATCCCCATGAGATATTTTGTGCTTCTCCCCAGGTGTTTCATCTCCTGACACAACCGAGATTATTCTGCCTATTTCTGAGCTGGCCATGGAAACGACAGAATCTACGGAGATCTGTGTGGAAACGTTTAACGCTACTGTGGTAAGGAAGAAGCACGCTCCTTTCTTGCTTCCTAGGGGACTTTTTCGATGGCATAGAAAGCAAATGTCATGTTCCCCATTAAGAAACATCTGGATACCCATCACAGGACAAAACTTTTGTCAAAAGGAAACTTGTACCACATGTTTATGGAAGGGTATGCTCCCATATCTAACTAAACAAGGAAAATTTGAGATCTTGGAAGGATCTCAGCTGCAACTGGAAGGGAATTCCCTTTTCAATTTGTCTTCCTGGATCCTCAAAGTGGCTTCTGTAAATGTAATTTTCAGTCAATCCAGTTGCACATGTTTTCTTTCAGACCATTTCAAACCTAGGAGAAGGGCCTGTTCCTTCCCTATTCTGCACAATGTATGGTTTCCATTGTTTTGATTCATACTGTTTCTTTTTCAACAATTTTCCATTTGAACAATGAAAATGAACAAAATCTGGCCACCAGTATTTTTAAAAATCCCACTAAAATCAGAACAGTAAACAAAGAATAACACTAGGAAATAGGCACATTCCAGACAGGAAACAATCCAGCCAGCTAACACCTCCCAACAAAGAATTCCCCCAGGCAGGAAGTAGCCAGGTTTTGAAGCTGCAAGGCCATTCAATACTAATCAAGGTGGGCAATTGCAACATGCCTCAAACAGACAAGAGTTCTTTCTCCCACCCTGGACCTTCCACAGATGTATAAACCTCACTTGCCTAGTTTCCAACAGACCTCACAAACTCTGAGAATGCCTGCCATAGATGTGGGCAAAACGTCAGGAGGGAATGCTTCTGGAACATGACCATGCATCCTGGAAAACTCACAGCAACACAGATTTTCCATTTACTGTTAAACAACTTCAAATATCTTATTCCAATTCTTATCTTGCCAGGTGAATGTGGATGGTGAATTATTTCTTCTGCAGACTTCTGCATAAATCTGGATCATCTTCATTGGCAACCAAGCTTCGGTAAGACAGCAAACTTAGCTCTTTCTTCTGAATGTGTTAGCAGTAGCTTTCTTTCACACCTTGAGAGTTTTCCTTTATGCAAGTAATGTAAATAGTCAGATGTTTTCAAATTAGTGCTTTCTAACTTGTTCATATCTGGATTTGGAGTTGGGGAGCGCCTCAAGTCACTTTGTTTTTCCGAAAACACTGGATTATTTGGAATAGTTTAAAAGAAAAAGGGGGCAAGAAGAGTCACAAAAGGATCTCCAGAGAGAATAGCCATTGGAATGGAGACTACACTTCAGTATATGCAAGTGTTCAGTCATGCACAGTGGGGCAAAAGAAGCTTTGCTTTACATATTTGTTAATGGGACCTGAGCTGGATGCGTCTGACCAAGGCTGTATCCACACTGCAGAATTATATCACTTTGTGTCATGACCTTATTTCCTGGTTTTGTGTGAAGCTAGGAAATTAGACCATGCCTTAGACCTGGCCTGTATATATTTGAAACCAGGGAGAGGGTTTCCATGGAAACGGGAACAATGAAGGGGAGGGGCCAAGGTGAGGAATAGGAGGCGTTAGGGAAATAAACTGTCAGTTGGAATTTTGTTTCGTACCCTAATGTATGCTTTTGGAAAATAAAGTCTTCCCTCTTTGTTCGTGAGGTAATTTCTTTGACAGAAACTACAAATCCGGACACTTTGACATCACATAAACTGCTATGGCACAGTGCTCAGAAATTCTGGAATTTGCAATTTTGAGGGAAATTTTTGGCTAAATTTAGCGAATTAAAAATGAAAAAATCTTTATTTCTTTACAGGTTCCATGAACAAGATTGCCTGGAAATGGAGGTTTTCAGAATATTCCTCTTTGCTTATTTTCTGTATCATATTTTTTGTTATGCAGCAAAACGTATTGAGAGCTGTTTCTGATTAAATCTTTCCTTTTAAAAAAAGCAATAACACAATGCAAAACGTATAAAAGGGGGAAGTGAGGGAGAAAATATATCTTGTATTTATATATTTCTCAAAATGTGTCTATTATTTCCCAACCACATACTCTTAATCACAGGAACTTGGAAAGGGTTGTCTGTGTGTGTAAGTTTGAATTCCAGCTTTCAGGCATTGCGAGTTGGAGAATTGGGAGGTTTCCGGCCGGAAATGCAGACCCTGAACTTGGGAAGACTGAGAAAGGCCAAGATAGACAAAGAGAAGAAAGGATAGAGAGGAAATCAATCCCTCCCCTTTAAAATATAATTGCTAGAATGAAATAATTTATGTTATATAGACTAATAGAGGAAAGGATGGAGGTGAAATGGTTCCTAGAATGGTTTGTATGAAATCTTTTGTGTCTCTCTGGATGCGTCTCCATTGCAGAATTAATGTGATTTAATACTACTTTGGCTGCCATGGGCCAGTGCAAGGGAATCATGGTAGTTGTAGTTTTACCAGGTCTCCTTTTAGTCTCCTTTGCCAAAGAGTGAGTGCTAGTGCCTCACCAAACTACAACTCCCAGGATGCCATCGCATTGAGCCAAGGCGATTCAAACTGTATTCATTCTACAGTGGAATTGCACCCCTTGCATGGACCTTGAGAACTCTTCATCCAGCAGGACGGATACTCTCTGATGCTCACACAGACACTTGCCTCCTGAATCTTGAGAGCCCAAAGGATGCGCACTGAATCTCTCCATGGTTGTACTATCTATGTGTCCACTGCAGCTTATATCGCAGGAGCATTGCCTTGCTTGTGTAACCCACCATTTCTAGTCCTCATGTGAAAGCAAGTAATCCATGGAGATGAAGCCGACCTCCACCCACCCAGTTTTCTTTCTTGTTGGTTTCCATCCAGTTTGCACATGCTGTAGAATCAATGCTCTCTGATGTCGTGGCTCCAAGCCATGGGATCCTGGGAGTTGTAGTTTGGTGAGGCACCAGCACTCACTCTTTGGCAGATCAGCTTGAAGACCTTATAATACTACGATTAACAGGATTCCATAACATTGAACCATGACAAAGTGCAATAATTCTGCAGTATGGATGCACCCATATTCATACATAATCTAAAGCATTTCCCTGCTCTTGTTTGAGTTTTCTTTTTACTTGACTTGTGGGATGCTGCTCTGAATGCTTCTAATTATTTTTGTATAAAGGCCAGAGATTATTTTGGATTGTAACCTCTTCGACTTAAATAAACGGATGTCTGCACTCTGGCTGCTAGTTTTGTGTTCTGTGACGACATTCCTCAACTTGCTATTTGTGTCTTTCCCAGACTGCTTTCAGTGGGCAGTGAGTGGGTGACTTCCGTAACAGGGAAGGGAATGCAGTTCTAGGCTGCGTTGATAAGAGTCTAGTTTCTTCTTTGAGAGAAGTCAGAGTCCCACTCCATTTTGCTTTAGTCAGACCTCGCCTGGAATAACACCGCGTCCAGTTCTGGGCAAAGCAATTCAAGAAGAATATTGACAAACCAGAAAGTGTCCAGAGAAGGGCAACCAAAATGTCAAAGGTTTGGAAACCATGATTCCCTATGAGGAACTGCTTAGGGAGTTGAGTGTGTTTAGCTTGGAGAAAAGAAGTCAGAGATAAAGGGACATGACCCCTATGTTTAACAACAGAGAGTAAACAATCAGGCACATCTAATCACCTCTCAACAAAAGATTCCCCCAGGCACTGCCAAGCCATCAAATGCTAATTAAGGTGGTCAGTTGAAACATTCATACCTAGCTCCAGCAGACAAGAGTCCTTTGTCCCACCCTGGTCATTCCACAGATATATAAACCCATTTTCCTACTTCCAACAGACCTCACTACCTCTGAGGATGCTTGCCATAGATGCAGGCGAAACATCAGGAGAAAATGCCTCTAGAACATGGCCATATAGCCCGGAAAAACCTACAACAACCCAGTGATTCCAGTCATGAAAGCCTTCGGCAATACATTATGTTTAAATATTTGGATGCATGCCATATTGAGGAGGGGGCAATTTTGTTTTCCATGCCCCAGAATGTATTGAATTCAAACTACAGGAAAAGGGATTCCACCTGAATAGTGCCGTGGGGGTGACTTCCAAAAAAGGAAAAGGCATTCAAAAATAGCCAACTCCACTGGCTACCGATCTGCTACCGGGCTGAATTCAAAGTGCTGGCGTTGGCCTTTAAAGCCCTAAACGGTTCCGGCCCAAGCTACCTATCTGACCACATCTCTGCCTATGAACCCACCAGGACTCTGAGATCTTCCGGGGAGACCCTGCTCTCGATCCCGCCTGCTTCTCAAGCTCGGCTGGCGGGGACGAGAGATAGGGCCTTCTCGGTGGTGGCTCCTCGGCTGTGGAACGCCCTTCCTACGGACATTAGACTAGCACCATCTCTAATGGTATTCCGCAAAAAAGTGAAGACCTGGCTGTTTGAGCAGGCGTTCCAATAATTAGTGCAATGATTGGTTAATGAACACTGGAATGGAACAATGGATGACGAATCTGGAACATGTTTTTGATGACGAGACGACAGTGAATGGGTATTGTAGTAACTGTTTATTAATTGTGTAATGTGTTAGGTTGTTAACTGTTTCTATACTGTAGCACTGAATTTTTGCTGTTCGTATTTGTTGTGAACCGCTGTGAGTCGCCTTCGGGCTGAGAACAGCGGTATATAAGTAAGGTAAATAAATAAATAAATAATAAATAAAAATAGTAAATAGCAATATTTATTTATTTATTTCTCGACAGTATTTATATTCCGCCCTTCTCACCCCGCAGGGGACTCAGGGCAGATTACAATGCACATATACATGGCAAGCATTCAATGCTAATTATACATACAACATATATAGACAGGCACAGAGGCAATTTTAATATTCCAGCATTCCATCTACACGAGGGTATGCTTGATTCTGGCCACGGGGGGAATCTGCTGCTTCATTTCCATTTGTGACACCAAGTCCTTTGATGGAGTACTTTGGTAACTGTTTGTCTTGTTGGTCTCAGGGAACCCATTTCTTTTTAGTAAGGTCAAGAGGTTGAACATTGTTTCCATCCTAAATATCTCGGTATCACCTTAGATCGA